CAAATTATACGAAATCACCCGGTTAACCAGTTTTAAATTATTTGTTTAATTTATGTCTCTTAACTCCAATTCTGATTTTCTAAAAATTATTTGTACAAATTGACTCAGTTTATTTATATTTATGCGTAACTGTACGTCAGTGTGAAGTTACTTGTTTTCGGTTTAAGATATTATATGTCATTCATTATTTCTGTTTTTATGCATTGTGCTTACACCTATTGTCGTGAGATTATCCTATAACTGTACCTAATCAATATATATAATTTGTTGGTTCTGTTATCCTAGTTTTAAACTTCAAGGATTAAGCGAGATGGTGAAAAGTAGAAATCATAACGTTATTCGAAATTCAGTTTGAATATTTTACTGAAAATATTCATCTTCCGGCTTTCATTATCTTTCAGACCTATATCGTGGACACCAGACTCCATGGGTTCGTATCAAATTTCATTTTGACCGTTGTTTTTCTCACACATCTATTCCACTGAAGCTAAGATAAGAAGTAAACTGGTTATCTACATACACGTAGTTCAGTTGACTTGCTACGTTCTTTAATAGGAAAATGATTTTATAGGATTTTATCATATCTACTCTAATCGTGAAAGAACGTTTTTCGCTTAACCTTAGCTTTCATTGAGAAGCTGTAACGACTTTACAAATGACTATAATTAGTGGTATCATACCACCATTTACCAATACTTGATAAATAAATGGTTAACATTATTGTTAGCTCTTTTTTTCACTATCACATTCCTTATATATGGTAGTAGGTTTGTGTGGATGAACAAGATTCTAGTTTTATCATTCCATTTTGAACGTGAAATGGAGAATTCTATTATGATTCCACCATTTCAAGTTTTTCTTATTTATTTATCGTATATAATTCAGTCTTTCTCATTACAATAAACGATATATTCGAAGTAATTAAGCTCTCCTTCCCTCCATTTGTAAAGTAATCAATGGGCCATATATTGGGATATCTTTGGCAAACATTTTTTCACAACCATATAAATATTCTATGAATGACTCAAATTGAAATATTCGTAATTACTGTTAAGTTTTGATGAATTACTTAGTTATCTAAATAATGTACTAAATATTAAATCAATTAACTGGTTTACACATAATATTTAAAGCGAAGTTTCATGAGCTTTGGTGGGTTGGTAGCTAGGCACAAATATAAGTAGCTTTCATGGCTTTTATCAAAGCGAATGTCCGGAGTTTTAACCTGGTTAATGGATGTGGATGATCCACCTATGGAAGTTGGAAAATTCTGATTCCAAACCCAATGGTGCACATGGGCTCCAGCATCTTGAGTGAACAAATGGTGTATGAACCCACTGTTGGTCATTGGCTACCATAGGACTGCATCTCCTAACGTTGCTCCACTGTCTAGTGGATTAGGCCTTTAGGTCAAAGGTTCGGGGAGTAGCTCTCTAAGAAGACCACCTGCTTTGGTTTGGGCGTCTGGGCAGTATCCTAGCCCTCACACAAATCGAATGGTGTGTGCCCCCATGTTTAACCAAATAAATAAAACAGGCGAGTAGGCCCACCGACCTCTTTGGAATTCAAGAGTCGATTATATTGCTCACTGGTCCAATCTTTTGATTTTGATTGTTTGTGTGCTCATCTTTGAGGCACACTGTATTGCTTCACGGCTCTGAAACAAACCCAAAAAGTAGGAAACACTTTTTTTTTCTTATCTTACATGTATTCCAAATATTGGTCTCAGATACTTGAACCTCCGAGTGAGCAGTGTTGAGGCCATGAGTAGGGTACTAGGTAAAAACGGCAAGTCGATTAATGAGAGTACAAGCCTTTACTTACTGATTTGATTGGAATGTTTGTTACACATGTTTAAGTACCTTCCACTCCGACGTTCAGTTCTGACTTGGAAGGAGCCACGGGGAAAAGTTTATGACAGTACTGATTCCTGAATGTGTCGACTGCTGGACTGTATCATATTGGTATATGTGGACTTTCAGATGGGCGTCTGTGCAACAAAATTAGTCTATGGTTAAAGACCTTGGGTGATATGTTTCAGAACCACTCAAAGTGATGTAGTTTTATTTATTTCCTCTTCTTCCTCTAAATTTTGAAACAATCGTCATTCCTAATTTCTCATTACTTTATCTTCATAAATTTTGGACTGTATTTATCTTGTGAAGATTTCATTGTAGTTTTTATTGTTATTCCCTCTCTTTTGTCACGTATCTTGCTAATTTTCTCTCATTGTTTTGATATGAAGTGCAACAAGTTAGACCCATATATATTCACGGTAAGTTTTTCCCTAAACATGGTTGACTTGCTGGGTGATTCATCTTTCTGAGCACTCAACTACTAATGAGGTTGACTTGAAGGGTGAAATACAACAGACCGCTTTCGTGTTATTTTTTTTAAGATGGCGAAGTCTGGTGGTTGATATAAGAAATAACATATTTGTAAGTGGCTCTCTTCACTAGATAAGCTCTGAGTTATCATTAAAACCCAGGGTGAACTTGGGATCTGCTTTGCTCTAGTATAAGGTTTTTTATCAGTGCTCTTACAAGACCCCCATCAGTATTCAAATCTAAAACCTCCAGGTTCTGAATTGGTTGAGTTCAAAAATGTAGACCATTGGATTCGAAATCGGTTGTCTAAATGTTAAGGGTTTATTATTATTTATTTTAACACATAGACATTGGTACAAGGAGGCACCAAATACATGTGCGCCACACAAATCCCATTCGATATGTGTGATGGCTGTGATACTGCCCGGGTGCCCAAACCGAAGCAGGTGGTTTTCTTAGGGGGCCACTCCCCGAGCCTTCGACCTGAAGGTCTGATCCACAAGACAGTGGAGCATCGTAAGGAGATGCAGTCCCATGGAAGCCGGTGACCAGCAATTGGTTCATACGTCATTTGTTCATTTGTTAAGGATTGGTCTGAAGGCATGTAGATCCTAGGTTCAATACTTGATCGAGTAATGGGCATGTACTGTCTAGAAGTGTCTTGGATGAACGAAACAGCTGTTCAGTACTCCTCAGTTTCCTATGCAAACCATGATGGAAATGACCCCTGATTCAAGTGTTACGATGGTTAAAGCAGTTGACTTTCTGTCTCAGGTTCAAACACTGCTCCACCTATTTCGGTCTAAGCAACCGGGTAGTTTCGTTAACCCTCAAACTTTGAGTGTATCTCAAAGTCAATTATACAAATCTGTGCTCCAAAAATGAGTTAATGATAGTATATTTATACAAAATATGATTTTTAGCAAAAAGAAGGGAGATTTTCATTGTTGATACAGATCTAATGGAGTCGAATGTGATGATATAAAATGTATTAATTAGTGTACTTAGTTATTTTGTCTATATGTAACACAGTCAAAATGTATCACTAATCACCAAAAAGCACGTGGACTTCATCGCTTTATTCACCACTGTTCATCTTTATAATTGGATGTGGTTGAATTAATGAGTGTTCATCTGTGTACTTGTGTGCATGTTAACATTTACAAAACTGGAATATTTATGAAATCAGTAGATTTTTTCTCAGACTATCATGACTGTCTACCAGTACTTTGTCAACGTCACTTATCACATGATAAGTTTGTCCTTAAGTTTTTATGAAGATATTTGACATCTTATACGCTTAAGTATATGGGGTTGATTTGTTCATTTAAACAGAAAGAAATGTTAAGCTTGAATAAAAATGTCTAGTTTGCTTAATAATTATACTCAGTTGACGTGATCAGACTACAACTCTTCTATTAGTATGGTTTTTGTTGATAATCTGTTTTATTTAGGACAATGGAACCAAAGTAGATGTCATAAACTATATTGAATTCAAGTAATGAAAATGATATTTATTGATTCTTATTGTTCAATGATAATGAAACGAAAATGAATATTAAAAAAGATAATGAATTTGAGTAAATTTATTTTAAAAATTCTAAATATCATGATTGCTCTCTTGATGAAACTTCTAATTGTTTCCGATAATATGAATTTACGGTTTCACCGCTCTTCTCTCTGTCTCTTCTCATCGACTCATCTAAGATATAGAAACGGATGTCCTGGTTGTTAGTTTTACATTTTACATTGTATCACATTTAACATGGTGTATTTACTGTTTAAATCCGTAGATCTGTCAGCAGACAATGCAGGGGGTGAATTCGAATTTATTTTCGCTCAGAAGAGTCTTGCATCTAGTACAAAATCTTCCTGCAGTTTGCATATATATATACCTGTTTGCGCATATATATAAAATTAAGATCAGACGACCTGATAAATTCTTTTTTGTGTACGTACAAAGAGAGAAAACAAATCACCTCAGCTAATATCACTTCCCCCCTATCCCACCATTCTTTACTTGGTCAACTCCTGTTTTCAGTGTGTCACTAATGCTAGAGATCACTCGACTAAATACCGTCATATGGCGAATAAATATAACATGTATTTTACGATATAAAATAGATTTACTCTCTAAATGTTTTTGATCAAGATCTTTCTGAAAGGCTGGTGCTTATGTTTTTGGTTAGAACTTCAGATGTCCGTATGTGGGAAGTGCTTCAAAGAAAGTTGATTTCAATTGATTCATTGCTATTTGGAATTATGCGCAAATATTTTTCTGTTGTCTTTTTGCACTTCCAATCTGATAATCTAAGATGTCTTGATTCTTAACTTGATATACTTATATGAACAACATCTGACTTCAATCTTATTGGTATAATTACAGTCAGATATCCAAAGAGGTCACAAGTGTTCATCTTGAGTAGTTCCCAATATATAACTTGATAATTTTTTCGACTATTCAGTAGATCCCAGTTCGTAATGAAACAATTGTTATAGTAAACTATTCGACTTCCATATAACTACCAATTTAAAGAAGTGTTGTGGTCTTTGAACATGAACGTATTATTTGAAAGATTTCACATTGTTTTGCATGGACCACTTTCGTATTGTTATAACAAGTCTTTCCTTTAACTCTAATGTTTGTTTTTTTCTCTTTCATTTCCTACTTAGAATTCAAGTGCATTTGGTAATCTGAATAATTACTCATCTGCGGCTGCTGCTGCCGCTTATCACCGCTTATCACGTTGTAATACTAGCAGTAATAATAATAATGCAGACAATCAACTTGAATTAATAGGACGTCATAATTATACGAATAATCCAACTTCTTCCTCGTCATCGTCATTAACTCATTCCTTTATCACATCATGTGCATCTCCATCTATTTCAGTACGATCTAGTCTTCAAGAATTTTATCAGAATCAGCATCATCATCATCAACAACAGCAACAGTCAATTATTAGACCACCAGTTCAAGAGTTAACAACACGTCGACTTTTATCTGAAGCAGCTGCAACAGCCTATGCACATGGTCTAGGTAATTACTTTTTATTTACACATTTACTTATAAATTAATAATAATAATAATAATAATAATAATAATAATAATAATAATAATCGAAATAGGGTTGTGGCGATCTGAAGTTACTTCAAGAAGACAGTGAAAGATGGTCTCCCAATATAATGAATTGATCGAAGTAAGACCTGTACACCGTAGGGCCACCCACTTAGTGGTCTGGAGGCTAGGCATCCACGTGTAGAACCGAATGCTTCGGGTTCAATTCCCGGTTGCGGGATCGTGGATATGCACTGCTGAGGAGTCCCATACTAGAACAGAATGGCCGTCCAATACTTTCAGATTTTCGATGGTTTTCTAATTAAGACTGGTTCGCGATATCAGTATTTAATATGAATTTACGCATTTTGAAACAGATGTTTTTCCAAACTTTTTAAATATTATTTTGGCATAACTCACCAAGTATAACAGCATAAACTATTTTGAAGTACACGAATACAGATCTTATGGAAACTAGTTTGTCTATCGATTATAGTGGAATAAAACTTGATTTTTGGTTGACTCAACTATTGTTTTAGTTTTGCTGATAGAACATTAGTACTTATTTAAACTTGAGTTTGATTTCATTTGGTCAAAGGTTAGCTATGTGAACGTGTGTTTCCGCCCCATCGCTCAATGATTTTTAACAATTGTTTTCTGACTCGAATCTTCAGGGTCAATACTTGGGTAAATACATTCATACCGGACGCATATGGAAAATATTTCTTTCAGTACTATACCTAATTATCTTTTTAGATTAAGAAAGATCCTACGGTTAAACTGATCTAGTATAATAGTTCGCGAATGTGGTGTATTAATGAGTTTTGAAAAGGTTGAAATTATGGTTAGATTTGATCTCAACTTACCCAGTTTCATAATCAACGACATTACACTATGTTAAGTGATTGGAGTTAGTCTACAGGTAACCTTACTTGATCTAGGTTTTATGCTATTTGGCATTCATAAGGAAGGAACAAACTGATCCTATCCGAATCTGTTCACACTAACTCCTCATTCGATAATAACCATTTTCATTATGTCTTAGCCCTTAGTATTTGTCCAACTAAATCATTCAAGGTATTTTTCATTAACAATTGATGCCGAAAAATAGAATTATCAGAAATCCTAAAATACTGAACAACTGTTGCACTTTAAATTTAGTCTTGTCATCATTATGGTTCTTTTTTTCACCAATAGAATTAAAAAATTCTAATGCCTCATATATCCAAAAACATTGGTGCAAAAAACTGGGCACTATACAGATGAAATGAGTAATAATCCTTTTACTTTTCCATAGCATATGTGATAATATATGCATATAGAGATAGTTATATAGTTTAATAGTTCTATACAAGTTTGTCTTCACTTTTCATTATGAGAGCCACTTTATTATTATTTACTCTGGTGTAAACCTGGAGTAGTTCAAATTTACGACGTATTGGTTGATGTATAAACTGTATTAATCATCTCACACAATACAATCTTAGATACTTCTGATAATTCTTGTTTTCATCTATCACTTTGTACCATCTTGCTTCATAATATTACTGAATAAATAGGTTCGTAATTGACGAATGTAAAACAGCATAAAATCTCATGCAATAATGCATAGATTCAGTTTGCCAATCATAAATAGGACGTTGTGTAAATCTTTTTTGGAAAAAATTGAACTGTTCACTGAAGGCGGTTATATGTGCTAGGTTTGTTATTCTTTGTTCTCATTTTGCTTATGCTTCGGTATGTAAGATTTTATCAAAATATGTCTGACTTATTTAGAAGGTAATAAGCAATGCTTACCAATTAAAGCAATCTGAGATAGTCTATATCAACTTTCACCTACCGTTAACATTAAAATCTCAATGCGTAGTCCTTCATATTTGACAGATAATTTCCATTTAAAATTAAAACACGAATTTCAGCGAAGGGATCTCTTTTCAACGAATTTATTATCAAGCTGTACAATCGTATATATATGAAAATTTTGTTTTTGTAAAAGTACTAATTCCGTGAGGAAATGTGAACACAGTTAATATAAAGGTTATAATACTAGATTACGTAATATGAATAATAACAATAACAATAGATTTAGTGATTATAATAAGATGATTAAAATGATTAAAATGTTTTTGATATAATAATCATATTTTCTAATCACTCAATAATAAATACTTTTGTTAAACAGGTAATGTTTTGTAGTATTTGTTGAATTTTCCAGCTTGCCTAATAAGTTGACTAAGCAACTTTCAATATTTAACCTCCGCAATCATTTTACTGATAGTGAAGTAGTGTTTGATACTGTTTCTAGCTTATGTAATTAGTTGATCGGACGTTTAGCTAGTGATTGATACTGATTCGGTTTGTAGCTTCTAACTACTTATTCAACATCAGTAGTATCTGTTTCTTAATTTTTTGAAAGCATTTAGTACTCATTCACTAACCATAGTTTTCTTATGAATAATCATAAAATTTTTCTAGTATGTTAGGTATCTTTAGTTGAATGGGTATATGCGTTTTGGAAAATTTAATGGGTCATTTGCATGAGCCGAGAAGTTCAACTCACCATAGATTTGCAGTTTTCGAAAGAAACTAACATTAATCGATTTGTTTTTATCTGGACAGGATATAATTCCCGTAGGGTAAATTCTTATGTGACCCGACCCAACATGCACAGTAGGGGATTTACAGCCTGACTTGAATTGTTATAATACTGATTACTCCTCAGCTGTTTTCATGGTAGTCCCACCACCTCAATTTTACTTGCCCTATTAATTTAGGTCAGAAATATCCTTTCCTTAACAGAATGAAGTTGTCTTTTCTATGCAGACAAACATACTTATATACTAACGTGTTATACATCACATTCCAGTTTGCTTTATCCACCCTCAATTTTTCACTTCAAACCCACCCCATTGACATAAGACAGGACTAGGTTGTGTATATGCGTATGGATGTGAGTTCTCTATAGGCGCCACTCATTGCCCGTCTGTCATTCTATTTAACTAACTTGTCATTTTAGTCATGTGAGAGCAAAAATGTGTGGCAGCATAAACATATAAACAAATACAAGGACTTTGTCATGGTCTTGTCCAAGTCATGAATGCTGTTTGTGTATTGTGTATTTCCATCTATTCACTTTAGGTGTTCGTATGTATGTTTGTGTGCTGATTCAGACATTTTCTAACCTTACTCATTTTATCCAACCATTCAGTTGCTACTGAGCTTGATATCGATTAAAGTTATACAAAGTCGATACAACAAAAACCTGAAAACTGTTGTATGTATTCATTCATGTGTATGTTAGCAGACAAACATTAATCTAAATAGCTTCGGAGTCTGATTAGACAAAGCAGACAACAATCTAAAGAACTGATTTTTCCTTGATTAGTTTTGATCTGTGAACCGGGTGGATTGTTGAATTAGATTAGTTTGTTACATTATTTATACAATTCATTTCCCATATATTTGGTTTGTACTATGGATGATAATAACATGGTTTATGTGTATAAGCTATATTATACGTCTGACTGTGGTTAGTATTATTTTGAGATCACTGGAGTAAACCTGTAATCCCTAAATAAACTCTCGATTGTATAACCATAAGCTATACACCATCAAAGAATAAGTGAAAGGATGAATGATATTTGAATTCTTCAAAGATAACACTTTATAATTAACATTTTCGGATTCTTAGGAGTTTATATCTGAAGTATTCATTCCGCGCGTATATTTCTGGTTCCTTAATCACATTAAGTATTGTTGTATAGGTTTGGTTACATTAATCTCTATTATCTTGTACAAATAGTTTATCATCAGAATGGGTTTTGTGGAGAGTTTTTAAGAAATTTCATAGGTTGAAATCATGAGTCGATTGAAGCTAGACCACCATGGAAGACCTGGAAGCACTGGACGGCCGTTTCGTCCTAGTATGGGACTCCTCAGCAATGCGCATCCACGATCCCGCACCACGCGGGGTTCGAACCCAGGAACTACTGGCTTCGCGCGCGAGCACTTAACGACTAGTGGATGCGCACTGCCGAGGAGTCCATACTAGGACGAAACGGCCGTCCAGTACTTCCAGGTTTTCCATGGTGGTCTACCTCCAATCGACCCATGATTTCAACCTATGAAATTTCTAAATAGTTTATCCTTGATTGATTTATCATAATAATTTAATGTTATTAGTTTCAGATATAAATTAACCAGGAATAGAATAGTGGTTTTTCCCTAATGACGAATTTATCATCTTTTTACTGTCTTTTATGGACTAAAATGGGTTTTTCCAACCCCACTCTCAAGCTAATTGTTTTCGCATGATAATGAAATTATCTTGAGAACCACTGAAAGCCATGGAACACTGGACAAATGTTTTGTCCTAGTCCAGGATTCCTTAGGAGTACACACCTACAACCCTATCCGAGATAAAAACTAGGATACTTGTATTTTGCAGTGTTAACGACACGTTTAATCCGGCGAATCCGAAGTTCAATGGTTCATATTGAAAACACCAGTCAATTCGTGATATATAACTCGAAGACTGTCCTATGTTGTCATTGGTTAAACCAGCTCAATATTAACATAGAGCTAAAACTTCATTATCTTTTATTTCCCTATTTTTCTCTTATTTTTGATCGAAGTAATTTACTGGTTTACTTTATTGGGGATTTAATTCCTAAAAACCGGATAAAATAATTCTTTTAAGAGAATTATACTAGGGGAGTTGAAATTTATAAATTATAATTAGATTAGTAGACATTTAAGTATTCATGTTTGTATTAATGAATTTTATAAAATGTTTTTTTATTTGTCATAATAGATATAAATAGCATTAGTGGCAATAGTAATGTCCACTGGTAACATGTTTACTTACTCTACATTCATCAGTATGGTAGTCACAGTTGGGTGTCTAAAATTATTATTATTATTAAACAATCGATCGACATGTCATATATTGATGATTATGTTTCTTCTGTTTTCTTATTTGT